TGGCTTCTCCTTGGCACCAGCCAGGAAATTCTGAGGTTTGTAGCTTTCCTCCAGGGCCATCTCCTCCAGGGCCACGGTGATGGTGACAGTGGTGGAGAGCGGTGGGTCACCATTGTCCATCACCTGGATGATGAGCTGCTGCAGCTCCACATCGGTGTCCTGGAGGGCACGTGCCATCCGCACCTCCCCAGTGTACAGCGACACATGGAACAAGGAGGGGTCAGTGGACTGTGGCAGCAGGTGGTAGGAGAGCCAAGCATTGTGCCCAGCATCCAAATCCACTGCTGTCACCTTGGCAACCAGGTAGCCCGGTGGGGCAGACAGCGGGACCCTCTGAGGTGCCGGGTCGTTGTCGTCACTGGCAGGATGCAGGATGGTGGGGGGGTGGTCATTCTGGTCCAGCACGAAGATGTAGACAGTAACGTTGGCATAGAGCGGGGGGGACCCTGAGTCCCGCACGGCCACAGAAACCGGCAGAACCTGCAGCAGCTCAAAGTCAAAGGTGCGCTGTGCGTAGAGGTTGCCATTGTCAGGGTTGATATGGACAAAGGAAGAGGTGGGAGCACCCTGCACTTGGCCACTCTCTATGGAGTAAACAAGCCGGGAATTAGCCCCATCATCGGGGTCTGAGGCAGAGACAGTGCACAGCAGGGAGCCAGGTGGGTTGTTCTCTGGGATGAAGGCATCATAGGAGGGCTGTGAGAAGCGTGGGGGGTTGTCATTCACATCAGATACATTGAGGAGCAGCGTGAGAGTCGTGGTGAGGGCAGGAGACCCACCATCCTCTGCGATAAGCTCCACTATGTACTGTGAGGTGGACTCTCGGTCCAGGCTTTCCTGGGTGACCAAGGAGAAATGGTTCTGAAGGGACCTGATGGCAAAAGGCACATCGGGGGAGATCTCCAAGCTCACATCCCCATTTGCCCCTGAGTCTCGGTCCCGTACATTGAAGAGCCCCACAACAGTCTCTGGGGGGGGGTCTTCAAGTACTCGTAGCAGGGAGGTGAGCAGCACCTCGGGGGGGTTGTCATTGGCATCCTCCACTTCCACCTGCAGTACACAGTGGCCCTCCATCTCCGGAACCCCCCCGTCATGGGCACGCACGTAGATCTCATAGAAAGGCGATTCCTCAAAGTCCAGGGCTCCATTCACCCGGATCTCACCACTGCGGGGATCCAGGGTGAAGAGCCTCTGGACGGAGTCAGAGGTGTGAACCCCAAAAGAGTACTGCGTCTCCCCATTGGGGCCCTCATCGGGGTCAGACGCGTTGAGCCGGAGGAGCAGGGCCCCCACAGGTGTGTTTTCTGGGACTTTCACCTTGTATGTGGCACGATCAAAGGTGGGCGCATTATCATTGACATCCAGGACCAGAACAGTTATCTGCGCCGTGCCCGAGCGAGCCGGGCTTCCCCCATCCACGGCCGTCAGCACCAGCTGCAGTTCTGGCTGCTCTTCCCGGTCCAGGGCACGCTCCAGCACCAGCTCTGGGAAGAGTTTGCCATCCTGCTGCTGCTTGACGTCCAAGGAGAAGTGTGAGTTGGGGCTCAGCCTGTAGGAGCCCACGGCATTGATGCCCACATCGGGGTCCTGGGCGCTCTCCAGGGGGAAGCGCGCAGCCACCGTGGCGGACTCAGCGATGCGCAGGGTGCGGTGAGCGGTGGGGAAACTCGGGGAGTTGTCGTTCAGATCCAGGATCTCCACTTCCAGGCGGAAGAGCTGCAGGGGGGTCTCCGTCACCACCTGCACCGACAGCACGCAGCTGGCAGCCGCTCCGCACAGCCGCTCCCGGTCCAGCTGCTGGCTCAGCACCAGCGCTCCGCTGTCCAGGCGCACGGCAAAGTGACGCTGGCTCTCCTCTGAGCCCAGGCGCAACCTGCGACCTGGCAGCTCCTCCACCTTCAAGCCCAGGTCCCGGGCCACGTTCCCTACCACGGTTCCCACCTCAGATTCTTCAACCACCGAGTAGCGGATCTGCCCGGAGACCCAGCCCCAGCCGAAGAGGGAAAACAAACTCAGTACTTGCCATTTCCAGGCGGGTCGCTGGAGCCTGATGCTCTCCATGTCCGTGCGCGTCCGTCCCGGGACGCAGCAGGCGCTGGGGAGCTGGGGAAAAAAAAATCCCCGGGTCTCTCTTCCCCGGCTCGGAAAACAGCTCCGGGGCTCCGGCGAG